GGTGGAATTGAGAGAAGGGTTTCACATTCCAAAGTACAATATAACACAGGTAGCTTGAATTCATCGGGACCGGCCTCTGTAGTTTGAGGGATATCTTACAAAGATAAAGAAGAAAAAGAAAAAGCAGGACCGCAGGGTCACACGTTCTAACATGCTGTAAGTGCTCAAGATTTGTGAAATCAAACATTAGTTTATGGTCGAAGACAGTGTCTTACCTTTAAGAAGTGTTGGTTGTTGTGTTGAGACTGGTTTATTCTGGGAGACTGGTTGGGCAGGTAGTCCAAACAAGACGCCATGGTATGTTGTAGGTTCCTACTTCTTTTCTTTTTGGTAAGTGTTTTACGGCGCTCACAACTGCATAAGGTCATATGAGCACGCAGAACACATTAAACATTTTTCAGTTGGTAGGAAATATTGAATTTTGCCAGGGTGGCGGCCGAAGCCTACTCTTATCGATGTTAGACCACCAAGGGAGCTTTAATGTCCTCCGAGATTTTTTGCCCTTGTCCGAGAAGGCTAGGTGTAGATCTTTCCTACCAGAAGATCAGGGGTGTGACTGAAAGACAGCAGTAAGAAGGAGCCAAGGAGTAGCAGTAGAAAGGCTGCAGAAAGCTGTAGAAAAGAAAAGTTTTACGGCACTTGCATCACAAATGTGGGTGGCTGGAGGGCGTCACTGGTAGGTCCTATTTCTTTTCTTTCCCTCTGTTTGTTTCTGTCTGTCTGTCTGTCTGTCTGTCTGTCTGTCTGTCTGTCTGTCTGTCTGTCTTGCTTTTTCCCAGCACAAAATGACCATTATTGTGTCTGTGTACTTCTCTTTACTCAAATAAACAGACCAACAAACAAACCGACACAAATAGGTCATATGAGTGCAGAAGACAGGAGGTTTACTTAGAGAGTAATATACAAAGAAAAGGGAGGGGGGAGAGATAAAGACGACAGATGTTTGACAGGAGAGAAGGGCAGAAAAGTGGTGGGAGGGAGTCGTAATGAAACAAAATCCTTCCCCATTGTGCGGGTTCTGTGTCTGGCTCTTTGTTTTAGTGTTTAGTTTTTGTAATAGTTTTACGGCACTTGCAACACAATAAGGTCATATGTGATGCATAGCGGTCAAATTGGGCGCTCGTCAAAATAATGAAATCGAAGAAACAGGCATTTGCCTCTAGTTTGGCAATTTTTTATTGCATTTTTGTTTTTTAAGATATTTTTTGTATCGGCGACCAGCTGTTAAAAAAGTTTGAAAATTTTATTTATTGCAGTTTCTTAATGCGTGATATCGGTGGAATGTGTTTCAGGAATATTTTGTCAGAATTCAAATTCTAAATGTTTTTAAAAAGCACGAAAAGATACATTATATTGATACTACCTACATCTTTGTGAAAAGAAGGAAGTATTTTTTTTGTCTTGCTCCGTAAAATTTAACTTTGTGGGCGTAGGGGGCATTTGAGGGGCTTGCCGGTGATATGTTCTTGTTAAATCAGACTCAGTTTTGTTAGCTTTAACCCTTTCCCAAGTGGTTGGTTGGCGGGTGCTCTGGTGTGGTTTGCTCCTTTCCTATAAAACATCTATCATCCTTATCTCCACTCTTTCTATTTTGTGTTTGTTGCTCTCTTGTAACACCTCCAATCTTCAGCACTTACATGACCTAATTGTATTGCAAGTGCCGTAAAACTCTGAATAGAAAAAAAAAATGATATAGGTATGTTCCGTTGTGTGCACGTGTTGCATGCTGTGTTCTCCCACGTAGTGGTCCGAGTTGTCGTGGCGTGTTTGCCTAGTGTCGTGATGTGTTGCCTAGTGTCGTGGTGTGTTGCCTAGTGCTGGTAGTGCTTGAGTGTGCTACTGTTCTCTCTCTTTTGTTGCCGCAGTGTCGCCACAGCTCTGTGAGTGTGAGGATAGCTATGTGTGAGTGTCGTCGCGGGGGGAATCGGGCGCGGAGCCAAAGTCATCAAAGTGAAGAGACAGACATTTCCCCCCCGATCGTTTAACTATTTAAATCAATTTTTTAATAAAAATCTTGGCTCAGAACCTTTTACGTCCATCTATAAGACATTTCTGCGTGAGTTATACTAAAAAAAAAAGTTGATGAAAGGCACAAAAAATGTAAATTTGCTGTTTCCAAAGAAAAGTACCTCTTTGGAATTCACCAAACTTTGGCTGTCATTTTCTCACTAATTTTTCCTCTGATACCGGACGACCATATCTCCATCAATCACTAAAATTTCTATATTTAATGGTATGAAAAAAGATGCCCATTTTTTTTCACCCAAAGCAAGACAAATGGACAGGTTAAGATTATACCAATAGCGTGATATATATGCCCAAAAATTGAAAAGTGCCTGATTCCACCACAGTTTCATGACACAATGTGAGCCCCCGGCCTCTGAATTTGTCACGTCAATGGAGAGAACTTGTTTTCTCCGCTCTTATTTCTCGATCTAAATAACTGATTACTGTTACACGGTCCCTGATTTGACAACTTCAAAGTTTACCATTCGCAAATCTCAGTGCTTTCTTATCCTGTCTCCTTTTTTTTTCCCACAGTGAAAATGTGACTTCTCACTTCTCTTTAAGCTCACTCTTTGTTATGAACTGCTTTTACTGTTATTAAAAATGGAGATAGGACAAGAAAGCACTGGGGTCGTGATTTATTGACCGCTGTTTAAGGAAGAGATGCAGTAGGAGTTTTTGTTTCATTTTTCAAGAACTGGAGAAGACAATTAATCGTTGGCCGCCTGGTCAGATTTTCCGAGCTCAGAAATCTGGCATTTTTTAAAATAACAATTTCTCAACCTGTGTATGTGGTATTTGGTTGAGTGTGCTCGAGAAATATGTCAAATTTCAAAAAAAGCAAGAGAGGATACATAATTCAGGTACAAATTTCGTGGCCGCTGGATTGCTAAAGTAGGTACAAATTTTTTTAAAATAAATTTTAACAAGTATTTTACTCTCTCCTGAAAAATATTTCTTTCTGGACTTAAAACGACTGACCAGCTTGCTGAGGCACTTTCGAATTGACAGACTTTCTACTGGAGGTTAGAGCTGGATTGTCCAGCAGGAAAAGAAGAGAAGTTTTTGGGGCAGTGTTAGTATGTAGGGTTGGGGGGGGGTTGCTTTTTTATGTGACTGTGTAAAGATGTTTACAGTGCATTGGAAACAGTTTTTTGTGTTCTGTTTTGTTGTTTTTTGTGTGTTATTTTTAGTTTGCCAGCCTTTGTAAAGTGTTTAGTGTTGTTTAGCTTTGGTATTTTGATATTTTGTGAAAGTGTGCTCATCTAGTTTGGATTTACTTGTAGATTGTAAACATATGTGTCTTTTCCTACCTCATTTTGATGTTCATGTAGTTTTTTTCCACACATACCTGTATAGTTTTTCCACACACACACACATATATAGTTGTTTTTTTCACGACACACTTGTATAGTTTTTCCACACATATATTATGTATAGTTTTTCCACACTTACATCTATATTTTTTCCACACATACATGTATTGATTTTCCACATATACATGTATAGTTTTTCCACACATACATATATAGTTTTTCCACACATACATATTTTTTCCACGTATACATGTATAGTTTTTCACACATACGTGTTTACAGATATAATATATATATATACATATAAAAATGTCGACAGTGATTACTGTAAGGACAATTTATTGGACTTTGTTTTTATGGCTATTTTAATATTGTGTTTTTTCCTATATTTGGGGCCAGCTTTGTTCAGGTGGTATAATATTATTATAGTTGTAGGCCACTCCACTGTTTAGTTGCTTAATCTCTTCACTTTTTCTTTATTTGATCGTCCTGTCCAGTTAGCAGTTAGTTGGGGTTATTTTCCTGGTGTGGATTTCAATTGAGGTGTGGGGGAAGCGTTGACTTTTAGTGTAGCTTTTCAGTCCCACTATTGCCCTAATGTTGTCATTATTGTCTTTATGTTTTCTGTCGATTATGGCTCATATCGCACTGGTTAACTAATTTAGGCGTGGGCTACGCAGCAAGTAGAGCTGTGATGTGGGCATTATGCAAGTCGTTTTCACCGCAAAATGTTTTAATTCATTCACACCACAAAATGTACAACACATTTACACCACAAACTCAGATACACCACAAAATGTACAACTCAGATACACAGCAAAGTTTTTACAACATTAATATGATATTTTTCATTACTATTTTATCACTCTTGACAAGTTCTTCAATGTTCATGTGTTTTTCAAGACAATTGATATTCATTCATATCTTTTTTGTTTTCTTCTTTCTTTCTCGCTGTCCCCGCCCTTCAATGTTTCACGTACTCTTCAAGACAATTGATATTCGTTCATCTCATTTTTTCTTTTCTTTTCTCTCTCTCTCTCTCTCTCTTCTTCTCCCCCCC